ATTCCTGTTTACATTAATGCTTTAGTCAGTCATGAATCAATTCTCCATATTCCTATTAATTATTACTCATTTACTGTTTAGAGGCTGATGTAGCTGCATTAAGGATGTGCTGCCGGTGTTTGGCAGACTGGGATTTTGACTAGGTTTCCGGTCTTGCAGAGGGCTGGTTTCCTTCGGGGGTGTTCTGTGGCCAGAACGCTGTCATTAGGGGTGAGTCCGGGCACTGAGAGTTACCTTGTTATTACCTGAATAAACTTTCAAGCCGCTTTTGCGTTCTTGTTGCATGGATATTCACCCAACAGCCTTCAGGGCAGGAATTCATACCTAGCACAGTTCTCTGAGGGGTGGGCTTTAGAGGCAACTTCCAAGTGCAAAGTAGCTGCAGATCCTTCTTTGCTAGCAGACACTTGGAGGTGCCACCTGACAGCACTTCAGCCTCTGCGGTTTAACCCTATCTTGAGACTCCCACATGAGGTTTGCTTCTGTGTGAGCTCCAGAAGCCCTCCTTGTTTTCTGGGCAAAAGCTGGGGGAGAAGGCACCTGGGCTGGCATATGCTGCTTCCAGGGCAGATGCTGGGCATGACTCTCCTCGCCTGGCTGGTAGCTCCTTGCTCCAAGTGTGCTGGCAAGGATGAAGGGGAGACCTAGCTGGACTGAGTGCCACAGGCAGAGCCACGAATCATTTGTGCAGAGTGACTGCAAGGAAGCTTTTGCTGCTTGCCATCGGCCTGGGGCTGGGGGGGCTTCTCTAGAAGAGCAGGCAGCTGCCAGTGAAGTTGGTACAGGCTAAAAGCAACTCACCAGCCACTGTAGTATTATTCCCTTCCCTGTGCCCTATTGTAGCTGCAAATGGGAGATGCAGAAAAAGTTTGCCTTCTTTCCTGTCCAGCTGTGCAGTAGGTGGTGGCGTATGGGTCTGTGACAGAGCCCGTAGCAAGAGAAGAAAGCCCTAAATCCACTGGGATCCAGGGGATGTTTCTGTGACACTGGGAGAAGCAGAAAGAGGTGGAGAGAGACAGAGCAGACTGTCAGGAGCCTGGGATGGAGGTGAAGATGAAGCGAAGGCCAAACCCAAGGATTATGCAGAGTCCACATGTGGTGGCATTTCAACCTGCATTACGCACGCAAGGTGGGTCCGTCGGTGTTGAGGGATTGAGAGCGGCTATTGCGGAGCGCCAGCCGAACGCCTTCCTCAGTGCTTACTCGGCTGCTGGAGCCGCTTGTGTCACGCCTGTCCCGGCGGCTCCGTTGCATCTCTTCCCACTGGGCAAAGCCAGCCCTGCCCGTCAGTCTCATGCCAGGCTCTCACACCTCTGCTGGGTGGAGGGCCACCCATCGCTGCTGCTCGGCTCAGTGATTCACAGATGCCGGCAAGCACATGGCACATGTTTGGGACTGGAGCAATTTATGTTTCATATAAATTTATGTCATCTTCGACAACTGTGCTAATTGTTACAAGCTGAAGACTTAGATAAATATTTTAAGGAGGTGGGGGAAAGTGTTTTAAGGCACCACCCGTTGCAGGGCATGTTTGACTCATGCTGTAGCTCAGCTGCTCTGACAGCAGAAATTGAAGTCCAAAACAAGTCAGTCTGTGGCTGTATACAGGGCTGAAATAAGCAGGTTCTGCGGCGGCAGGTGTTCACACAGCAAGAGGGACCTTGGGGGATGAAGACTGTGCCCGGCCAAGTGGTCTGATACTGCCCACTTCCCTGTGTCTTAAAGCGAGTCAGTGCTGTTTGGTGGTGGCATCACTGGAGCTTTCATCTCGGTCTCTGAGGAGACTTGGCTCTTGATGCTGTCTACTGTACTCCTTTGACTGTGAACTTTGGTAGGTTGTGTCATCAGGCCTGGCTGAGCTTTTTTTTCTCAGCAGCTCAGTGGCTTACGAGGCAGAGCAAGAAGGTAAGCAGGCCAGCGATACCTTATTAGCCATGTAGAGGTTAGGGAAATGGCCCATTTCTGCACAGTCTGACTGAAATCCTTGGAGGCAGGAGTTTTCACTCTGACTTGAGCAGAGCTCGAGTTTTCCCCAGCGCTTCCCCCTTTGCCTGTGCTGCCCCACAGGCATCTTCTTGGGGGCATTGTGGCTGATCCTCCCACCAGCGCTCTTTTAAACTGAGCCAGGGATATTTGGAGATCTCCAAAGCATGACCCCCACCTACTCCTGCATACTGTGGGAGCATCTGCAGTGCTTCACCGTGGATTATTTTCAGGATGTTTTGCCACATTGGTTCTGGCTTGAATGGGTCGCTAGACGTAGCAAAGACAGGCCTGGTGCAAAGGGTGTGTGCTTGTTCGCTGTTTTGGTTGAAGGCTGGCTGGGTGCTCCAGTGTTATCTCTTACAGGGATGTCATTCCCTTGGAGTGACATGTTTGTCTAGCGTGGATACAGAGAGCAGCTGAAGGTTATACACAAATCTTTTTGTAGGCCACGTTTAGACCCAAGCTATAAGCTGCATGCCTCAAAGGATGCCAGGTTTCCAGGAAATAAAAAAATGTGGTTGGCTGGTTTTTAGTTGTGGTTTGTTGTTTTGGGGTTTTTTTTTGTTGTTGTTTTTAATTTTGAAACAACTTTGAATTAGGTAACTGGATTAGAAAATTGCTGCTGTTTTTTTACAGGCATGATTCAGGCTAGTGGAAAGCTTAATTGCTAAGCTGTTAATCTTCATTACCATCCAAAATGCATGACAGAATAGTATACATGTGTGAGGATGAGGTGGTGGACTTCACTGTGAACACAAGAAATAGAAGAGAGCCTCCAAATAAGGTGTCTTAACAAAAACTATTTGCTCAAGTGCAGCAAGGCATTCTGACATGCTCCAATAGATTTCCCTTCACTCCCCTGTAGACCAGTGTGGCTGAGTCTAAAATACCAAAGCCCTTTTGAAAAAAGCTGTTTCCAAAATACTAATTCCTGCTATGGAGCAGTCCAGATCTAGAGCCTGGATTTCTTCCCCCTCTGTCCAGGGTGACAGGAGGAAACTTGTACTTACCTTTAGGGTACTCTATGCTTAATCCAGGCTATTTTTCCCCCCTTCTTCCCCATTTCGTGTGACTGTGTGCTCTGAGGGCAAGCGCTCCATTTCTGCCTTCCTTCTCGGAAGGAGGGCAGGGAGCTTCATTTCCACAGTAGTAATTATAAGGGTTTTATTTAAGTTAATGTGTAGGTCTTACTGAATTATCTGAGGGCTCTCCGGAAATGCGTAAAGGCTGGTGGCTGATGTTTCTCACATGGCTCTTTCTTTTCTCTCCATACATAATAATATTTTTTGCCCTTGTTGTGAGGGTTGGAGTAGCACCTTTGCTTTGGCATCAGGGAGGCTTTTTCTTGAGGCTTGCAGGATTTTACTCCCTTTCCTGAGTCTGACTGCTGAGATACCTGTGACTTTGGTCATCTGCTGCCTTTCCTGCAAGAGGAGTGATACCTGCTTCTGTTTGCTGTCCCACAGTGTTGAGCAACCCTTAGGCTGGTTAAGTGCTTTAGAAGTAAGAAAAGGGGGAGCCTCTTAAATACAATCCAGCACCATCTTAGGTCTTGTGCATCCCCCATCTGCCTGTTTGTTCCTGGCCTCCCCTGGGGAGCTTTTATGCCACCACTTGGCAGTGGACTCTGCACACTTCACAGGAGCTGCCCATGCCGATGTTTCCAGGCTTATTCTGCTTGTCTCTGCTCCCAGCTTTCTCCTGCGCAGAGAGAAGGCAGAGATTAGGCATAACTCCCTACAACAGTAGCGTGGGGTACATCGGTTCTGTGCTGTCTGCTACCAGAATTTTGTAGGCTTTCTGGGACAGACGTGGCAAGAGGGTTTCTTGCCACAAACTGTGGCAAACATCCCATACTTTGCTTCATAAATCAACAATACCCATTTAAAACAACTTGGTCTTAAAACCCTGAATTTAACTGATACTGGGGAATGGCAGCTTGCCACGTGTTGTATTGCTACATCAACATCCAGGAAAAATCCCTGGTGTGCTGTTGAGAGTGAATGAGTAGTAAGACTTGATTTTGGCCAGGGTGATTTCCCCAAGTGCTCGTCAGGGGGTGTGGGGGAAGCAAAACTGCTTCTGAGTTGTGCGGCTTTGTCATCCAGACAGAAATCTACGTGTCAGAAAGCCATAGCTGAATTTGTGCTACTTTTTTTTCTTCCTTTTTTTTTTTTTCCTCTTCAGGGCTTGCACACAGCTTGTTGAGTTGTTCAGAATGATGCAAGAAGTATTGGCTTTCTACATCAGATTTAGAAACAAATGTTTTCTTGCCAAATGGCCCTCTGAGGCGAGGGGAGAGACTGTTGCAGTTGCTGTGGTTCTGATTAAATCAAACAAATGGCTGCAGTGCAGTTGGTTAACAACAAGGACTTTCTTGGAGTGCTGTAATCTTCGGTGGCATTATTGTTGCCTAACTGGTCCCTTAGGCAAACGGCAGCTCTCACCTGTATGCCATCCTGCAGGAGTGACATGCTGAGATGGCTAGTCCCGAATGGGAACCTGAGCTGGCAGTGTGTATGGCCGAGAGCTGTCACAGCAGCCGACATCCAGTGTCTTGCTGGATTTGGCCCTGACAGAAACCTCTGCGATCTGTATAAATGTGTCTGATGTGTGGACAAGAGCTGTGTGTTTTTTGTGTATGTGTGACATAGTCTAGTTGAATGTGTCTGTGATCTCTGCTTTTAAAGAGATGGAAGTGTCCATCTGATGCCTATTACTCTGACATCAGTGAATTCTAATATATCAATGTGGTGTTAGGGGAAAAGCGTTCCCAGATAAAACTGCCTGTCCCCAAGCACCAAGTAAAGGACACATCCTAAAGGATGCATTGAAAGTGATTCTTTGCCAATTCAGCAGAGCCATGTTTAATGTTTTTTAATTCTGGTTAAACTTAACTAGTTAATTTGCTGGTAGAAGGAAAGAAAATTGTGAATTGTTTTATTTTCTGCAGTGTTAAAAAGTACTGGCTAAGTTGTTCATGCTCATTTGTTGGGGTGTTTTTTATCCAACAGGTTACTGGTCATTTAGATGATTGCACCTGTGATGTAGAAACCATTGATGCCTTCAACAACTACAAGCTTTTTCCTAGACTGAATGAACTTCTGGAAAGTGACTATTTTAGATACTACAAGGTAATTTTCTCATACAAGAATTGTATTATTGCATTAATTTTGTATGCTGCTCCTTCTTCTGAAAAAAAAAAACCCAAAACCAAGGCAAAATCTTCCTTGAAGTTATTGCTGATCTCTCTAAAATCAGGTACCCCCATTTTAATACTGATTTTTAACAATGCAGTCAGTAAGTGTGACTCTTCTATTGTCACTAGAATCTTAATGTGATACAACATCCTTCTAAAATAAATTTCATCAAAGATAGAGAATAGAATAGTTCCAGTTGGAAGGGACCTACAATGGTCATCTCGCCCAACTGCCTGACCACTTCAGGACTGACCAAAAGTTTAAGCATATTGTTAAGGGCCTTATCCAAATCCCTCTTAAACAGTGACAGGCATTGCCCACCTCTCCAGGAAGCCTGTTCCAGTGTTTGGCCACCCTCTTGCTAAAGAAATGCTTAATTTATAATATTTTCTTATGCATTCTGCCCTCGTAAGAGCTTATGCAGTAGACCAATGAAATGACTTCTTTTGTTGAGCTGGAGCTCAAAAATGTTGATGAGGGATTCACATTGCATAATGAGAGTCTTCTTAGTGTCTTCCCAGCAACATGGAAAGCCTGGTTTAGTTACCAAACAGTCAGGTGAATTGATGGCTTTTGCTGCCAGACCATCATTATTAGAGGGATTTTGCTCTCATTCCACGAGACTGCATGTATATGGCTGAAAGTGGGGTTTGTTTGAGTGTGCTTGGGTTACGGGGCAGTATTTTACCTGTCAAATACAGATACTGGCCAGTGACCATTGCCTGACTGTTTCCACAGACAAAACAAGTATTCACTCTTCTGTAAGAACAGTTTAAAAAGTTCTTGACTTCACTGCACTGCAAACTAGAATGGGCCCATGTATAAAATCACTGGGGTAGAGCTGCTTTTCCCTGCTCCCCCTCTCTACCAAACCCACAAAATCTTGATAAATGTTAATTGTTTTGGAAGAATAATACTTGATACCAATTCACAGAAAAGAAAGACTAGAATTTGTTAAAGAAGTTAATGTCCTTCCCCCTTCCAGTGTTGGGATTTGTAACAGGAATATTAAGATTGGTCTAAATGAAGCATGGGTGAAGGTGTCTGTGTGTGAAAGCATCAGAAGAAACAGCAAAGCAAGGATTAAATGAATAACCTGTACTGATAACAAGGACATGAGGGATAGCAATCAATCTGGTAAACACCAAGGAATTATTTGTTCCCGTCAAGCCCAGAAGACTCGCACACCGACAAGTGCAGAACACAGATGACGTGGCAGCAGAAGACCTGCGCTCTGGCCACCGGGGGACGGCAGCAAGGCTCCAGCACATGCTCTTCCTGCTCCTCTAACAGGGAGGCAGGCTGTAGTCATAAGATGCCCAAAAGAAGGAAACTAAATCAATGGGTAGCAAACTTCCCCTTAGATTCATGGAGAACAGAGTGAGAAATATTCCAAGGACAAAGAATGCCCCATAGTAACTGTTGGCTCCTAAAGGGTGCAAACCACCTGGCGAAAACCCAGTTTGTCATTGCTCGTCAGGAGCCTCAGGTCGTGATTAGGAATTGGTGGCCTGTGTGTCTTGTCTTCTGTGTTACCACAAACAGTCCTGGCCAGGCTGCATGGGCGCTCACATCTCGTATGAGAGGCAGGTGAATGAGTGTGATCAATTTTGTTTAAGATAAATAACACCGTCTGTTTCCACTTGCACTGCACTCAATCTTGCACTAGGTTTTGTCATCTGAAGTCTTGCACTAAGGCCCTGAAGGTGTATGTTGGTAAACTGTGGTGAGGAAGGTTGGCTTGGCTGCGTGGAGGAAATGTGTAATAGGATAATACGTTACTTGTAGGTAAACCTAAAGAAACCTTGTCCTTTTTGGAACGACAGCAGTCACTGTGGAATAAGAGACTGTGCCGTAAAGCCCTGCCCATCTGTAAGTACCAAATCCATTCTTTTACCTCTTTTCTATATTTGGCAGATTACTTGCTCTTCTCATTCTTGTAGCTGTAGCAAAACTGTGGCTCTGATGGAGCTTTCTTGGCCACAGGAATACTGGTATCCGTGAGAAAGGCCAAAATGCTAAATTCTGACAGTTTAAAGAAAGACTAGGCTTTTACTAGCTGACTCTCTGTGAATGGCCAAAAACTTGTCCTGGTCCCTCTTTTATCTTTGGTATTAGTGAGGTGGGTTTTGGGCAAATCCACTGTTGTTACAAGAAGTGCCTCTTGTGTTAATTGCCAGGATATTCACCCTGTGGGCCCATGAGCTGCACTGTGATTTGCAGTTTTGGCTGACAGATTTGACTAGGCCTCTTCCAGCCCTCTCTCTTTATGTGGAATGGCTCCTTCCGAGTCCTGTTTCCCAGTACAAAAGCAAACGCTCTTGTTCCTGTATCCTGGACAGAAGAGTTTTGTTTGCTGAGCTAAAAGAAAACATCTTGACTGCAGGTGTTTGCCTGAAAAGAAGGGGATGAGAAAGTGAGTGAATGAGAACTTGGTTGCTGGGTTGACAGAGGTGGTGAAAATGCCACCCAGGCTGGCTTTGTGGGTTGGCAGCCAGCAACAGTCTTACACTCTCATTCCTGGGCCCCTGGAGCAGCCAGTGTGTGTGCTAACGGTGCGCTGGGGTATGCCCTGCCGACGGTGCTCTTCCTCCCAACGGAAGAGGCCTCCTGACCCTGCTTGCATGCATTTTTCCAACTCACTGGTTCATTTTCCTGTAGGATTTCAGGTACGCTGCAGTGAAGCAGGTGTCTGTCCTCCTCACCTGGTGACTCTATGGGAACCTGATGTAGTGTAGCTGTTGGCTGAAAAAAACATCTAAGCTGATAGGGCACCTTGAACGAATCTGGTGTGGGGGTGTGTGTGGGCATCACTTGTTATATAAATTCTGATATGTATTTTAAATTCATTTGTCTTCTCAGCAACTCCCTTACCCGTCAAACAATATCCTTTTCTTCCCTAGTCTTCAAAAAGCACCTATTATGGACCCAAACTGGGCTGATGATTTTTTTTTTCCTCAAAATAACCCTAAAAAAGTATTTAAACGAAATTTCCTTAAAAAGGATGTTTTTGGTAATGATTATCACCAATGCGATGGAGTAATGTTACAATTATGTTGGTATTAGCTAGAAGTTGTTCTTCTTTTAGACACTGACTGTGTCACTGCTGTTTTTAAATATTTTGATTTGGGTCCATTTCATTCTGAAAGCAACAAAAATAACTCTTATTCATTGCTTAATTTTGCTTATCCTTTGCTGCTTGCCATCACACTATTTGCCCCTGCAGCGTAGAAGTGGTTTTATTGCCTTCCTACTGATGGAGGAAATGGAAGTTGAGGAGGGCTTAGGGCCTGATCATCTTGTGCGTGCTGCTCGCATTGTGTGGGGCTGACAAGCCTGACGTTACATGATGGAGTGGTAGAAGGGAAGTTTTTGAATGATTTGTATCAGGGGCTGGGAGATGCAATACCTGAAAAGAGGTGGCTGGGCTCCTGCCAGGAGCACCAGCATCACCTGGAGACAGGATGCCAGACATCATCTGATCGGAGGCAACTCCAGCTCCTCTGAAGTTTATGTTGGCTTCCCCAACCTCACACTTGGGTAAGCAAAACATAACCTGACATAGCACCCAGGAAGGCTGCTGACCAGCTGAGAAGAGTCTTGCGAAAAATCAAAACAAAACACCAAGAGTATTGCTTAACCTTACTCTGTGGAGGAGCCAGAAATTGGATGTGTTGTAAGCTGAGCTGAGGGCTTTGATTACTTTCTAACTTATAGAAACTGTGATAACCTTCCTAATCTTTCTCAAAGATTAGGCTGAAAGGCCACATCAGTCTCACAGATAGCACATGCTCCATTTTGTCTTTCAGGATGAAGTCCCTGATGGAATCAGATCTGGAAGTTACAAGGTAGGTGTGCACAAAATGACGCTGCTTATAGGACCAGTTTCATGTCACTGCAGCTGATAAAAGCTGCCTTAATTAGATGGACAGTATTTGTTGGGATGCGCTTTGTGGCTAAATTTCTACCCTCTTCAAGTGTTTGGCATGCTGTAGAGCCTTTGAGGTGGCTGTCCTGGAGTCAGGTATTCCCTCTTCTAACATAGAGCAGTTTAGGAGACTTTTCCAAGAGCAGGTATCATCAGGCACAAAATGCTCCTACGGCAGTGCCAGAGGCTTCTGTGAGTCCCTGCAACAGTCATCACAGTTGCATAAGCCTCTGAATATCTGCAGACATCCTGTGGAAATACAGGGTGGGATGAATCACGGAAGTGTTTGGGATGCTTAAACTGGTTAGTGCATTAAAGGCAGAATTATAACAGCAGAAAACCTGCTTTTTAATCCTCCTCTCTCCCCACCACTTTGCTTTTTAACCCAGTATTCGGAAGAAGCCAATAACCTTGCTGAAGAGTGTGAAGAAGCCAAGAGACTTGGAGCTGTCAATGGCTCTTTGAGGTTTGACTTCTTTTTCTGCAACCCTGACTTGTCTTGAAGGAAAGCTAGTATCGGTGCTCTTTCTGATAGTCTTTTTCCACTTTCTTTGCAGTAAGGAAACCCAGCAGGCAGTGCTCCAGTGGACACAGCACGATGACTCTTCAGACAGCTTCTGCGAAGCTGATGGTATAGGGACCTGTTTGATCTGACAAGTCTTGTAATGGGATTTTAAGCACCTCTGCAGAACTTTCAGGCCAATGTGTAATATTTCAGCAAGCCTGGAGCATATATAGCATTTCTTCTCTTTTCTACCCCCCTGCCCTCAGTATTTTGAAAATAATATGCAAATATTTCTGACAAAGCTTCATTGCTGGTCAGGGTCTTAGCGTGTTTAGCAACTTAGCAGCTTGGATGCAGCATGCTCAGAGTTTGCTTTGCCATCAGTGGCCTTGTGCTCAGATAGCTCTGACGGCCAGAGGGCTTTGCCCTGCTGCACTGTGTTGATGCGTAGCAAATATTATGCGCTTGCCTCTCTGGAGAGGGATGAGCTGGTCTCTCTGCTGGCAAGACTGTTCAGTGTGTGAAGGGGTGGCTGGATCAGCCTTGTAAGATGTCATTTTCCTTCAGAGGTTTTTGTCACTGACCCAGCACTCTGCTTCGCAGACATCTATTCTCCTGACGCGGAGTACGTGGATTTACTCCTGAATCCTGAACGCTATACTGGTTACAAAGGACCGGATGCCTGGAAAATTTGGAACAGTATTTATGAAGAAAACTGCTTCAAGTAGGTGTTTCGGGAGACAGGTTCCACAAGCCTGCAGGCGCTGATTTTTTACAGAGGGGCTGCATGTGCTTTAACTGCTCCATTAATCCCCCTCTTCCTGTCTTTGCTGCAATGCTTGTGCAGTGTGGGCTGTCAGAGAAGGGGCCGAGTTGTGTGGCTGCCCTGTGAGCCCCCCTTTGCTGTCCTTTGGACCACAGCTTGCCCTGGTGCCGAATGCCACTGCAAGCCCTGCAGCATGATGAGACCGCAGCCTGGCAGGAGGTGCACATCTCTTGTGTGATGTGGTCCTGGGCATAGCGTCCTGTTCTCCCTGGCCATTGCAGGGAGCTCTCTCCCCAGTCTGTGTGACAATTTGAACTCTGCTGTGGGTACCCCTGGGGCTGATGCACAGTACTGGTGAGCATTGGTCTGTAGTCTTGCCTGCTGTGATCTCACTAGTGATTTCCTCCCCATACATATTAGTCTCTCGTGTTGCATCAAGGCTGTGGGACAATGTCCACTAGCACCTGTGTAGATACTTGAGTTTTCCTAGTCCTTCTTTCTAAAAAAAGAAGGAAAAAAAAAAAAAAGAAAAGAGAAAACCACATTTTGCTCTACCCCTTTCCTATCTGAGCAAAGCTAAAGCACAGAAGGAGATCTAAGAAATCCTTAGGCTATTTGACTGCAGAGAAGTAACTATTTCTGCTGTGCTGTGTTTCTGCACAGCAAGACCATCACTTATTTACATATCTTATTTAAATGATTTTTTTTTTCTCTTAGGCCTCAGAATGTAAAAAGACCTTTGGCATCTGATAGAGGTGAGTCATTTATTTATCTCACGAAGTGGTTTAGTAGCGTACTGATCCTAAATGCTCTCTCAGCTACTTCTACTGAATGAAAAATATGTCGTAGCTCTTGATCAATTTTATGGCTAACACAAGGGCACCTGGAGGTGTGGCTTTATAGCATCCAGCACAGAGAAAGGAAGTCTGATCCTCCACTTCTGGAAGAAATGTGTGCTTTGGAGGAACTGGGAGCAGGACTGAACCCTGAGCTCTTCCTAGGTCCCTGGTCTCTGTACTTGGCAATGCCAAACCATCTGTGACAGACTGAAAGACAACCTGGCTGGGATCCTCTGTGGAAACCATGCAGTAAGAGAAACTCTGCCCCAGAGGCTAAGGCTAGATAACGCAAATGAAATTAGGGAAGGTTTTGGAAGCATAAGAGCTTCTTGCTCGAGGCTGCTAAGAGACCTCATGCCTCCTGATGCCCCACCCTGCCCAGGCATCTAGAATGCCATCAACTTCACTCCCCCTTTGTTTGACCTGAACACTGGTCCAGCAGTACCCTCTGGGGTGATCTCTTGACTTTCCTTGAACTGTGTAGCTGCTTTCCCTCTGAAAAGGAGGTGCAGACCACCTCTGCTGTTTAAGGCAAGATCTGATTGAAATAACACAGGTATGTCAAGGGGAGAGGGAAGGACTGCTGTTTTGCAGATGAGGAAGCAGGAGGACATGAAAATAGAGGATCTGACCTGATACAAGTTGCAAGTGACAAACTGCAGGAAGCAGGGATGGGGTCTTTTGAGTATCCTGTCAGAGGTCATACAGGAGATCTCTGGCAAAGATAGACCTTGTTTTCTGGTTTCCGCTTCAACTGCGTGGTGGTTTTACTTCCTTTGCAAATATTGATCCCTCCTGTGTTGGTCAGGTTATGCAGGAGCATATATGCAGAGCTCATCTGGTGTGTTCACTGCTGCAGTTTGAGACAATATTTTCTGTGTTCAGAACGTTTCTAAACCACCCTGGAGAGGCTCACTCTCTTGTCAGAGCAGACGAACAAAGCAATCTTAATGCTTGTGCTTTGGAGTTTAATTTTGGTCATGTGTAATTTTTATCTCCTCTTTTCTCTCCCTCCACCACTCGTGCTTTTTTTTTTTCATCAGGAGACGATGGAGGTGAGTGGCACTCTGTTTGTTTTTACTGATAACAGAAACAAATGTGGTGTCTTTATCATGCTGTCACGAGCTGTACCATTAGATAATGCACCTGGTTAGCAAAGTCATTATTCAGGCAAAATCCAAATTTGTCTTGAAATTCTGCAGTGTTCAAGACCCTGTGGAGAGATCCCTCTGAGCTCCCTGTCCCTGAGGCCAGCCCATCCTTGTATGGCAGCCTTTAAAAGCACCAGGCAGTCTTTTAAGAGTACAAGTCCCATTTGAAGATCAAGGAAGTGAAGTGTCCTAAGCCTTCAGGAACAGGACTTGTGTTGTGGTTTTTCCAGTGCTGCTTGTTGCTGAGAAAGCAGCTTTCAGGCTAGAGCTTTGAGAAGACTCATAGTCCTAGCAGCACTTGCAGGGCTCACATCTGGGAAGGGCTGTGCCCTGGAGCTGTTTGCCCTCTGCAGCACTGGGCCTGTGTATATGGCATGTCTTTTTGTCTCCAAATTATCTCCAAATCCCTGTTTATGTTCTCCAGATTACTTTCAAGCATGTAGCAGGGGTAGCGTGAAACACTTGTGTGATTGAACACACTTGGTTGCACTGTGTGGTTTTTTTGGATCGGTTGGTTTGTTGTGTTGTTTGTTGTTTTGTGTGTTGGTTTTTTAATAAAAATACCCATCTCCACCCTGTCCAGAAGAGAGAAGCAATCCGTGATCCTTGTTTCCCCCTAAGCTGTGCTCTTCTGCAGCGCTTCTGCACCCCCATCCCTTGCTGAGATGGGTGGGAAAGACCATGTGCTATGTTTAGCTGCTGCCACGCTGTGTTACAGAAGCATCAGTCAGAAGGGTGGGGAGGAAAATTATTTTCATGCTCTTCTAATGCTCCTCTCCCTGCTTCTGCAAACTGGAGTAGACAGAGGTCCTCTGGGGGCTGGCTTCAGGTGGTTTCAAGGTGTCAGGCTTGGGCAGTACCCTCAAAATGATGTGCTTGTTTTCCTTTTGTTTCCAGGGCATATGTTTTACAAGTGGCTGAAAGGTAATCCTTTTTTTTCAAACTTGGTTGCTCGTCCTGGGATCAATGCAAAATGGCCAGGGAGTGGGTGTGAGTTACTGGCCATACTCAGGTGGGATTAAATTTCTGCCTGACAGCCAGGAGAGGAAGATTCAGCATATGCTTTCAGTATCTTAAAGTGCCCACTTCTTTTCAGGTGTCTGTGTAGAGAAACGAGCTTTCTACAAACTCATTTCTGGTCTCCATGCAAGCATCAACATCCATTTGAGCGCCAGGTACCTTTTACAAGGTAAATGCTACTTTCTGCATTAGCTGTCCTGCATCAGTCTTAAATCGACACTTCTGTGGCTCTGCTAAATGCTAGCTGGAGCCTGTTCCAGCAGCGTTCAGGCCTACTTCTGTGCCCTTCTCTTCCCTCCCTCAGCACATGGGTTGTGTAACAGAATCAGGAATGCAGTTACCACATGCCTTCAGGTCTGAAAATGGCTGGACTGTGCTCTGTCCCGAGACTTCCAGCACGTATTCCTTCTGTTCTTCCTCCAAGGTTATTTTGGAGTGAGTTTCTATCTATGTATCGAGGCTGTCCCTTCCTAGCCTGTCTTTATGACGGTCAGTTTAGCAATGATCTCACCTAGCCTGTGAAATGCTTGGGTGGGCTTTCCCGAGACCCTTGATCCATTTCCATATGCCACTTCCATTTCTTTGTCCATAAGTAGGTATCTGAAGAAGCTAAATTTCAACCCAGGGGTTGAAAATCTAGGGTGATGTGAAAACATGATTGGTGTATCTCACGTGGCCGAGGGCTGTGGCACTCTGCGTATGCAGCATGGGATGCAGGTTCCGACTGACTTCCTGATGGATTTGGTCATGGTACTTTAGAGTGGTACCTGTGGACTGAGCCTACCACCTTTATTCTGCTAAAACTTACAAAAATCAAATACAGATTTAGAGATAGCTGTTGGAATTTGGATAGGTAATTTAGATTTATCTAACTAATTATATTTAAGTCTCTACAGCCCATGTAGGCCTCACCTTGATGTGAGTTAGACTACATTAGAGTTGGGAGATAGAATAACAGAGAAACATCAAAGGCAAGAGATGAGTTGGGACTGCAGAGAGGATTAAGAAAATAAGGTTGGCTGCAGAGAGCCAAGTAAGTGTCTTTGCTTGTCTTGTGTAGAAGGGGATAGCTTCTGTTGGTGAAAGGCTACAGAAGATGATCTCTGCTCTGAGAAGGTGTTCCTTGGCTCAGCTTGGATCCATGCAGGGATTCCCATCTGCAGGTGCACTGGTCACCTTGTAGAGAGCCTACCTGAGCTTGGATTTGGGAAGGAGTCCTTTCCTGCTGGGCTGGTTGTCCGTTGGTGGCTTAGAAGATAAAGTTTCTCCCTTTTTTTTTTTTCTTTTCCCCATTTTTATACATCAGCTTGATATGACTGTGTTATATATTCCACTACATCCTTTATATAATCTTAAGGACATGATGGATGAGCAAACAGAAATATTCTTTGGGAAACCTGTGGGCTCGATAATGGAGAATAGAGGCCAGTCTCCTCTGATCCTCATCTGCTTTTGTTCTCTTGCATTTCCACAATAGAAGGAATTCTCTTAAGATGTCCCTGTTCATTAGGAAGCCTCCCAACCTCTGGCCCCTACGCTGCTTCCCAGTGCAGCGTGATCAGGAGGCCTGCGCTGTCTGCCTCTGCAGATGCTCTGACCAAAGCAGAGACCTCTTCTGCATTCTGCACTACGTCAGTGGCTTTTGTGGGCAGGAACGAGGGGACCTTCGCAGCCTGTCTGGTACATCCATCCAGCCCTCTTCCCTTGCAGGCAAACGTTGAGCTATCACCAGCTTACATAGAACCGCTGTCAGAAAGTCAGCTCAGCTGATGAGAAACACTTCAACTGATTTAATTCTGTTTAAAATGGGCAGCCTCCATTTTTAGCGTTTGCTTGTAAACCTGGGTCATGTTTTAAACCAACTGACAAAGATCTGCAGGAGTTCTGCATTTGTTGGGGTTTGAGTTTGGTTAAAAGCATGCCTCTCGAGTCTTCAACAGTTTGTGGTTAGTGAAAGGGCTGTGACTATTGTAAAGCTTGGATCTCCCTGGTCAGAGTTACATTTCACCATTTAGCTTGGGATGGTGGGAGGAGTTGAACCAGAACTATACCCATCTGCCTCATGTCTTTGGTGTTTTGTTTTGGTTTTTTTTTCCCCTCTCTCAGATACGTGGTCAGAGAAGAAATGGGGTCCCAATGTTACAGAGTTCCAGCAGAGATTCGATGAAGTCATCACCAGAGGGGAAGGTCCCAGAAGACTCAAGAACCTGTATTTTCTCTACCTGATAGAGCTGCGGGCCTTATCCAAAGTGCTGCCATTCTTTGAGCGCCCAGGTTTCCAGCTGTACACAGGGAATAAAAGTCAAGATGTGGAAATGAAAAACCTATTGCTGGAAATTCTCCATCTGGCCAAGTAATTGCATTCGGTACCTGGGGAGAATGGCTCTTTCAACCCTGGCACCCTGAGCGTGCTTAACCTTTCACTTAAATCCCCAAGAAAGGCAGGTTCTGGGTTCTTTCTTACAGTGGGATAGTGTGATTTGTGCAGTAGGGTAACATTGCAGGGAGTACATTGGTATCTGTAGTCAAATTGCAAAACAGCATAATTAAGCCCACAGTTTAATAGTCTAGGCTGCCCTTTTGATTTAGCAGAATTGAATTTAATAACTGCCTATGTGTCAGCCCTGAAATTGGCTACCTATTTGACTCATCTGTGCAATACCAGTCCTGGCTTCATGTTTTTGACTAGAAAAAAGTCCTAAACATGTTGGTAACAGAGGTTTGGGCTATTAGAGTTTGGAGTAAGAGGAATGGAAGATACTGGAACCAGATGGAAATGAGCGTCTCCTAACATGATCAATGTTTGAATTTCTCTTGTCACACTCCTGTGCCTTCAGTTCTTCTTCCTATTAGAAAGCAGACTACAATTGCTTAGAAACCATAGAGCAATTGCTGAAAATGTCTCCAAGGTGAGATACAAGCTAAAATTGAAGAATCTCCAAGGGATCTAAGAAACCAGCAGCTTGCATTTAAAATACATCCAGAGATGCCCAGTGTCTAAAACCCATCAGTTTTGTTCGCACACCTAGGCAGATACTTCTGTGGGCCTGGACTTCAGCCATACAAACAAGCTGTGGAGAGATAAAACTCTTTTCATTCTATTTCAGGTCTTTTCCGCTACATTTTGATGAAAACTCATTCTTTGCAGGGAATAAAAAGGAAGCTGCTAAACTAAAGGTAATGGGCCAGCCCTCCCTTTAGGGTACTTGCTACCTAAAGGGTATTTTCAAGTGTGTGTCTGGGATACTAGATCTGAAAGGGACCCCAGTCCACTCAAGGTACTGGGTCAGGTGTTTCCAATTAATTTTGCTTTCTGAATGGTTTGGATACTTGTGGGTAACTACAGACTCTAGGGTGTGCCTTAAGGAGAGTGGTGAATTGCTGGTGAGGACCCCACTTCAGGAGGCATTTCCCTACCTCAGTCCCACTGCATTTAGCCTGAAGTCGAGGATTAATACTTGGAAGAAGTCCAAATTACTGCGTAACCATGATCAACTTGAATGTCTTTTCCCCTAGGAGGAATTTAGGCTACACTTTAAGAATATTTCTAAGATAATGGACTGTGTTGGCTGCTTCAAATGTCGCCTCTGGGGGAAGTTGCAGGTAAGCTTTGTCAGCGGCCGGGGACATGTCTGGAAGCACCTCATCTGATGGGATTCTGGTGTGCAAATGCAGATCTTGGGTACCAGTCAGCTCCTAGCTACAGGTCAGGGCTGCTCGAGTCATTGCCTCGTCCAGTCAAAAAAAGCTGCCGGGCCCCGGCAGCAGCTGCCTGTTGCCTCTGCAGCTGAAAACTGGGTTAACCTGCTACAGCTGCTCCCCAAGAGAGGGGAGGGGGCACAGAGGCTCTGGGAAGCGAGGCAGAGGGTGCCATAAAACTGCGGGTTCGGCCAGAGCTGTGCTGAATTTTACACATGGTCAAACCTAGACAGGATGCCTCTGCTGGGTAGCTCTGCTATCACGATAGCGCTAAATAAATAAAGCATCCTGGCTCTGTTCTGCTCCCCTCTCTGAGCTGTGTTAAGTGAAATCCAAGTCTTGATCTGTTGAGACGATGTCAACAGGTATCCTTGCAAAGATGAAGGAGGGAAGTAAAGTTAAACTTATGAGTCAGGCCCTGGATGTCTCCCTGCTATTAAATGATCTTGTTTGTCACGCCCAGACGCAGGGCTTGGGTACAGCGCTGAAGATCCTCTTCTCTGAAAACCTGATAGAAAAGATACCTGAAAGCGGCCCTTCCTATGGATTCCAGCTGACAAGACAAGAAATCGTTGCCTTATTTAATGCTTTTGGAAGGTTAGTTTCAGACTCTTTCCTCTGCTTTTACACAAGCAGCTGCATTACATCCTATTTAAGCTTAATGGGTCAGTTCTCATCAGCAATATTGGTGTTAATTCCTGCTCTGATCATACTATCTCATAAAGAAGCTTTCAAATGTCAGATGATGTTTATGTGGAGTGCAACAGTTGGAGCAATTTAAAACAACTTCTTTGTGCTCTACATTTCTGTAAGGGATTCAGGGAAGCATTTGTATTAAGATACAAAGAATTTAGTGATTTTTAAGAAATGGTGTGACACTGTCCTCGGAGCACGTTGTCCCCAGAGAAGCGTTGCTCTTCTTGTTCTATGTTCACTTCCGAGCTCTCCCTCAAGCTTCTCACTTCGACCAGTTTGTTCCCAGATCCGTTTGCAGTGGTTGCGTTTAGCAGGAATCTCGCAGTCTAGCCCTTGTGGAGAGCTAGATGAGGAATTTTGGCCAATGAAGGAGGGTAATGAGGCCTTTAGGAGAGAGAGATGCTCTGGTTATACGTTACCACTTAGTGGTGTTGACAGACCTGGAGTTCCTGGCAAACAGGTTTTTTCAAAGGATTTGTCAGGTGACGTTGCTGCCAACACTAAAGCTCAGGGGTCCTGCTGTGTCTCGCTTCAAACCTACTGAGTGTACCTTCTGTGGTGTGAATGGCCAGCAACGGGGAGACCCTAATGGGCATCAGGCACGTCTGGAAAACCCAGAACCACTCTTCTGCGGGGGTGTGGGGTGCTCCCCTCCTGAGCACAGCTGATGCGCCCTCCTTAGGCCCGAGGAGCTGGGCTTCCTTCTGCCTTTCTAGCGCCGTGTCGACACGGCCTTTGGAAGCAGCATGCAGGAGACTTAGGGACCCTCTGAACGTCTGTTTTTGGAGGAAGCTGAGCGCTGGCAGGTGGAAAGCCTTTTCCTTTCTTCCCTTGCCCCCTCTGCTGCCCAGCCAGAGCTTTACCCTGGGAGTCCTCTGCTGTGTGAAAAGCCTGGGGCCAGGCAGCTCTTTCTCAGACTGCAACCTCCTGTCCCACCTACCTGGATTAGAAGAGCCTTTTTTAACACAGACCTCCATTTTTTGCTTGTTGTTCACAAATGATCTGGGTTATTGAAAACCTCCTTAAAACAGAAGGCTGTCCTGGCTGGGAAGGGCAGACCTCTCCTTCACGAGGGAGGCACAGACGGGCTGTATGCTCAGAGTACCCTCTGGCATCTTTGCTGATGCTCCAAGGGCAAAATGCCACTCAGCAAGAAAAATGAGGTAGGTGATTCAAAAACCCGCTCAGAAGAAACAAGCTTGTACTGCAAGGAGGCTCTGCGACCTGCCTGCACAGCTGGTAATATTATGGTCTGTTTCTTGACCTCTAGTTAATGGGTTTGTCTGATCGCTGCTGAGCTCTCTGTAACATCCTGTTCCACTGCGTTTCTGTGTTTGCTTTAAAAAGAGTCTGCAAAATTAGTGAAGGGCCTGGTTGTAACCAGAACTTAATTTAGCTGAATGTCTACATTCTCTCTTCCCAAGAGCTCCTTGAAACTTTCCTTGATCGCAGTCCCTTTCTCTTGAGTTTTAAATAAGGTGTGACGCGTACGTTGCTCTAATGTTTCCCTTCTGCTTCCTTTCCACACAGGATTTCAACAAGCGTTAGAGAACTGGAAAACTTCAGGAACATCTTACGAAATATGCGGTGAATTCATTGGAGAAAGAGACACTTAAAGTTTTACTGCTCGGCTGTGCTGGGTTCTCTAAAAATGGGCAAACACCATTGTTCCATCACACTCCCAGCTGCTGCACAGTGAAGACTACTTGCTGGATGTTCTGTTCCCAGTTGATTGTCTGTAACCTGCTGATGACAAATATTTTGTACAAGAGAAAAAAAAAAGCTACTTTCATAAAAAAAAAGTGGGGACTATATGTAAAGTTTATTTTATATATTGGATATGGAATAACTTCTTTAAATATTCCTGTACTATTTTGATTGATTAGACCATTCTTTTTGCCTTCAGAAGCTGGAGGTAGGGCAAGAACTGTGGCACTGAATAAATTTGAGGGAAATTGCTTGTCTGCTCCCTAATTCCAGCCAGCCCCTCACTTATGGTGTTGCTACAGTAATCTACTGCATAAAAAAGGCTGCAAAGGACTGTAGGAGCCCCTGTGCTCCAGAGCTGCTGCCGTACAAAGGTGCCTTCCTCTTCCTGGTGAAACCTTCTCATTCCTGGTGGTCCCTGCTGTGCTGACTGTGTGCTGTAGGCTGTGCTGATTGCTTCCTTATTGAAGGCAAGGAGAGATGAACCAAGGAGCAGCACACGACAGGAACCCCGCTACTCATCCTTGGGCCAGCCTTGTGCCTCCATCTTGGCTAAGAACCCTGGGGGTGCAACAGCTGCCCAGTGAGTAGAAGCGAGCTCTAAAAGGTGGTGCTGGGTTTTTGGGTCTCCTGGAGGAAGGAGAGGGTGGGTACATGACAAGGCAAAGGCTCTGCTGTCGGGAGCCAGCGGTGCGGCAGAAAACTGGCACCTGAAGGCACCCCCTCCTCATTTCGGGCCCCAGTCAGCCTTACCCCTGCACCCCACCCAGCTGTCCCCGGTGCTACCAGGGCCTGAGCTGCAGCCTCTCCTGCAACAAGTGCAGGGACCTTGTTGCCCTTCCTGCCCCTGCCAGCCCGTTAAAGCGGGTCTGTCCTCTATTGGGATCCACTCGTCTGTTGCCGGTAGCCGGGCAGGGCTAAAACAGGAAAGGACGTGCCCGCTGTGGGGCTGCTGCTCCTCAGAGACAGTGCAGAGCTGCTCTGGGGCTGAAGCGAAGCTGAATTTTGCTGCTCCAAGGACAAGCAGCTGGGGCAGTAGGACAGAGCGCTGCTGGGGCAGAGCAGAGGGTCCCCCCCCGGCCAGGCACAGGCCCCAGCTCCCCAAAGCCCCCCATCTCTCTTGGTAAAGGGGTGAGACAGCCCAGCCCTGCTGCCAGCTGGGTCCCACAGGGACAGAGCCAGCCCCGATTACACCATCCACCTTCACAACGGGGTAAAGGACGGGCTCACACATGGTCAGCGCTGCCAGAGACCAGACACCCCCCGGCACAGTCCCATGCAGCAAAAGTGTGCTGCTTTTCACCCCGGGACCCCCAAAACACACCATGGAGGCAGGTAGTGCTACACAGGAAGATGCAATGAGGTGCAGAGGATGCAGTTTGAGCATGTTGCACCTCATGAGATGGGGGAAACACTGCATCCCTCTGGGCAACAGCCAGCCCTGAGCCCAGAGAAACACCAGAGGATAAAGCACGTTAGGAGGGCAGGGGGAAGGAAAGCTGCTCTGCCCTCCCCAGCAAACCCCAGCCACAGAGGGGAGCTGCAGGACCGCTCGCAGAAACCACCTCTGGCTGCTCTGCACCCAACCAGCTGGACGCCCGGAGAGGGACAGGTAGGGGTGCTGGGGCCAGCCTGGAGCCAAGCGCAGCGGGCTGGTCCCTGGCAGCTGCTGGCTGGGCCAGGCCCAGGC